CCAAAAAGTTGATAAAGTTATTTGATAATAATGAAGGAGATAATGAAGATGAATGTTCTGTTTGTCCTGTTTTACCTAAAGATGCTTTATATATTGGCATGAATGGTAAATATATTATAAAATATAAAAAGAATATTTATATATAATGTATAATAATAATAATAAAATAATAATAAATTTAGCATATAAAATACGTATTTTTGAAAATGGAATACCGAAACGAAATGTTACTTATACTGAATATATTCCACATAGCTATGACACAAGTATTGAATTAATACATAACACGAAACCATATAATAATGATTTATACATTGCATCTCCAAATGGTGATATCTTGTCAACTAATTCTTATTCTAGTAAGAAAGCTTTCTTTTTGTATTTATGATATTTTATATTTAATAAGCATGGTTTTAAATATGTATATATTTTAAAAACAAAAAGCTCAAAATGAATGGTATCGAGTACTTCGATCTCCTGTTGTTGGACTTTTTGATTCTTTTCCTTCTTCACCTGAATATATATCACCAGCACAGCCATCATCATTATTACCACCACCGTCATCATCAAACGAACTTTCAAAATTAAAAATGGACAATAATGATGATGAAACTTGTCAATATGGTTCATCATTATATCCAAATTGTTTAATTGGAAATAATAATAATATTTTTGATTATGACGATGATGATGATGATGATTATTTGATAAATAAAGAACATATCTTTAGGTTAGGCATTGAAGGTCCATCATCTCTCTCATCGTCATCATCTTCACCATCACCTTCATTAAAAAAAACCACAATTATTCAAGAAAATTATTCCTCTTCCGCTTCTTCCTCTCCTCTTTCAATAGATACAAATAACTCCATTATTAGTTTAACACATATTGGACTTTTATTATTTAGTATTATTTCAATGGTTTTTATTGGTATTATTTATTGGAATAAATATAATAAAAAAAATGGTGGACAACATTTTAATAAATTATCGTTGACTTCATTACTTAGAGCAATTGCACAAAAGCATAATAGTTTTGATAAAAGTTTTATTAATAATAATGGTATTAATAATCACTCTTAATTCTATACAATTAAATTCAATTAAAAATTCGAATATATTTGTAAAACTAAAGATAATATACATATATATAAAGAAAGGTTTGTAGTTTTTTATGCAAACAATTTACTTATTTGTATTTCTTTGGTCAAGATTGACAAGGTTTTTCATAATGAAATGAACACAAACTTTCCATCCAAACTTAACTTAATGTTAAATATTCTTTTTCTCTCTAATAGTAATAACAGAAAAAAAAATTTTTTTGATGATAGCAATAAAAAAGTTGTCTTTTTTTTTTTAGTAAAGCCAGAGACCAATACTAAAAAAAAGGCTAATTATAATTAACTAAATTAGACTTGTTTGACAATAAAATCAACATGTACTTTTTTACTTTTTAGTAATAGTAAAGCATTTCCCCAGATTTTTAAGACTTAGAAGATTATTTATAAATTATTCTGCCTTTTTCAGTAGTAATGAAATAATAAATTAGTAGATAAGAGATCAAAAAAGATTTATTTAATTGATTTGACCAACAGTTAATTTTTTTTTAGTGGTTAATTATTTTAAAATAAAGAACATCAACATTATTATATTAAAAGGTGAATAATCTTTGTTTCTATAATTTTACTTTATCTGACTGAAGTTAACAACAAAAATACTTTAATTAGTAGTAACAATTCAACCAAAGAGATGATCAACAAATCTAAGAGGCAATTTGTATTGATTTATCTGTTATCATAAACATCACGCTAAATAAATTTTTAAAAAATAGAATAACTACTGAAAACACTGAAGTTCATCAGAGTAAAAGAATAAAAAATATACAGAAACAATAATTATCGCTTCTGATGATTGCTAATTATTTATTTATTACTTTTGTTTAATTAATGAAAATTAAGGAATTTTTACAAAAATTTCTTTTAGTTTAATATTAATTCCTAAAAAAAATCATGTGGTGGAGCAAAAACATAGTACAACTTTTCATGCAAAGGTCAATTTTCCCTCGTTTTTTAAGCATAGTGGACATTCATTTTATCACATGTGACAAAATCGATCATTGATCTTTTTTATGTTGTGAAACATATGACTTCAATTGAATTTAGAATG